GGGGGGTTCTTTTGTCGGTCGACACTTTTCGTCCAGGTGCTTTTCTTTAATTACGGCTAATTGAACCTTGCGATAATCGGGGCATAATGGGGCCGCCGTACGACGGTTCGATCATCGGACGAAAAGTGTCGACCGATAATCGTAAGGTGTATGGCCACCTTTAGAGTATCACAACTAATAAAAATAAAACAGGTGAATTAATTATTGTAAGGCAATGATAGAGACACGGAAAACCCATGATTCCTCTAAAAAATAGTAATTTGGCTTTAGGTACACTTTAACCTTACGCTGGTTTACTGAAGTTGAAATTCTATATTTTGAAGACCATACCTTATCCAGGCAAGGCATTTGAAATCCTTTGTCCAGTACTGCTGTCATTTCAATGTGTAAAGAAAGATGATGGATGTAAAACTCTTCTGGTCATTGAGCTGTCTCTGAAATACATATAAATATACAGTAAATAAAAATACTGTACAAAGCATCTTTGGTAATATTACAATAGTTTTAACATTTAACATAGCACCAAAAGTTGCTTGGAAATCACATAAATAAGAAAATAACTACCGTGTGTCCAGGGGCAGTGATTTATTCCTAACCGCAAGTAATCATATCGCGTGCGATCACATGCGGAGAGCTGGCGAACGGCCACTTTCAAATGCGGCCTCTGTCACCCGATCATTAACTTGAAAGGGTGACAACGGCCACTTCTAAGCAGCATATTTGGGATTCATAAGTTCCTGCCGCAGGATTCTCAAAACGCACTTTATATAGGTGTGAATTAATCCTTAAGCTGTATTAACATTGTATTTCTCTCAAAAGTACCAGATTGATTTATATGATCATTTTAAAATTTTGATTATATACAAAAATAAATGTCATTTGTTACTGTACTAAACAGAGATTTTTACAACCCCAATTCCAAAAAAGATGGGACACTGTGTAAAATCTACATAAAAACAGAATGCAATGATTTGCAAATCTCCTAAACCCAGATTTTATTCATACCGTATTAGAAAAAAAGAAACCTTATCAAATGTTTAAAATGAGAAAATGTACCATTTTAAGAAAAAAAATAAGGTAATTTTGAAATTGACGACAGCAACTCGTCTCAAAAAAGTAGGGACAGGGCAACAGAAAGCTGGCAAAGTAGGTGGTACTTAAGGTCCCCACACACCTTACGATAATCGTACGATAATCGCGGGAAATCCCGCGATCGTACGATTATCGTAAGGTGTGTGGAAGCCGTGCGCCCTCTACTACTGTACGGTCGCACGACTTTAAACTTACGAACATGTTTCAAAACCTGCCGAGCATCGTACGATGTTCGGCGGGTCTGTAGCATTTTCGTAAGATAAAAGCCGGACGGGCCAGTGTGCGCAAGCGCACACTGCCCGTTCGGCATTGCGGTCATCGGAAGCCCGTCCCTCAGGTGGCGTGGCTTACAATCATCGCAAGTACGATCTGCCTATGCAAGATAGGCAGATCGTACGTTTTTTTAAGTGGGTGTGTGCCCAGCCTAACAAGGAAGAGCTGGAGGAACATTTTGCAACTAATTAGGTTAATTGGCAACAGGACAGTAACATGATTAGGTATAAAAAGAGTATTTTAGAAGTAAAGATTGTCAGAGGTTCACCAATTTGTGAAAAGCTGCGTCTTAAAATTGATAAACAATTTCAGAAGAATGTTCCTCAATGTAAAAGTGCAAAGAGTTTAAATATATCATCATCTACAGTACAAAATACCATCAAAAGATTCTGAGAAAGTAGAGAAAGTAGAGAAATGAAAGTGCGCAAGGGACAAGGTCGAAACATAATATTGGATGCCCATGATCTTTTGACCTGCAGACGGCACTGCATTAAAAATAGACATGATTCTGTGATGGACATCACTGCTTTAGCTCAGCAATACTTCCAAAAATCACTGTCTGTGAACACAGTTCGGCTTGCCATACAAAAGTGCAAGTTAACGTTCTGTCATGCAAAGAAGAAGCCATATCGGAACATGATCTAAAACCGCCACCATCTTCTCTGGGCCAAAACTCATTTAAAATGGTAGGTTGCAGAGTGGAAAACTGTTCTGTGCTCAGACTAATCGAAATTTGACATTCTTTTCAGCAACCATGGGAAAGGGCCCTTCCAGCTTGTTATTAGCGCTCAGTTCAAAAGCCTGCATCTCTAATGGTATGGGGGTGCATTAGTGCATATGGAAAGGGCAGCTTGCACATCTGGAAAAGCACCATCAATGCTGAAAGATGTAGTCAGGTTTTGAGGCAGCATATGCTTCCATCCATAGGACAACATTTTCAGGGAAGGCTTTGCATATTTCAGCAAGACAATGCTAAACTGCATACTGCATCAATTATAACAGCATGGCTTCATAGTAGAAAGGTCCATGTGCTTAACTGGCCTGCCTGCAGTCCAGACCTTTCACCAATTGAAAACATCTGGTGCATTTTGAAACCAAAAGTACGACAAGGAAGACCTAGGACTGTTGAGCAGTAAGAATCCTAAATCAGGCAAAGAATAGGACAATATTCCTTGCCCAAAACTCCAGCAACTGGTCTCCTCTGTTCCCAGATGTTTACAGAGTGTTGTTAAAAGAAGAGGGGATGCTACACCTTAGTAAACATAGCCCTGTCCCAAATTGTTTCCGACGTGTTCCTGCCATCAATTTTAAAATTACCTAATTTTTTTCTTAAAATGGTAAATTTTCTCAGTTTAAACATTTCATATGTTTTCTATTGTAAATAAAATCTGGGTTTATGAGATTTGCAAATCATTGCATTCTGTTTTTATGTATATTTTACACAGCATACCATCTTTTTGGGAATTGGGTTGTACATTATCAACTAGATCAAGCTTTTAATGGTTGAGGGCAATCCTCTGACATGGCATTCAGATAACAAAACAATATCTGATCTCTATTTAATATCTAAGGTCAGTTGTACCCTGCACAATACTTTGGTGTTTGAGAGACATGAACAGCCATTGATTGCGTGTGCTTTTATACCATCATTATGTGATATGGGAAGGAATATCAAATGGAGTTGCTTCAGAAGGTGGGGAGGGGGTTTCCCAGTTTCAATACCCAGTTATTTCCCAATACATTGGTCAAATATGGTCAAAATAAATGCTGTATAATATCTTATAAATGTTATCTTAAAATGTAAATTTTATAAATTTTTTACTTCTATATTACAATTGCATATAAATAATAAACTTTCCCACATCACTGTAATGATTATCAAGAGGACCAGCTTTAAACTTTTTTCTCCCTTAGTAGGCTACTTTGTGCCTCCTCTCACATAGCAATTGCTTTAGATGCTGACCCCCGCCACCACCACCACCACCATCAATACCACATTAACCAGGAGAAAGCAAAACACTCCCACCATTTCAGTCAGTAGTCCAAAGCTGATATGCGCATTTGATTCCCAGACCCTTGTGTCACAGGAGATAAGGCCTGCTCTTA